ATGCACGGAAAGGTTGCAGGTTCGATTGTTGGTCAGGGCACATGCCTAGATTGTGGGCTTGATTCCCAGCAGGGGGCATGCAGGAGGCAGCTGACTGATGTTATGCTCTCACAACAATGTTTCTCTCTCTCTCTAAAAATCAATGAAAATATATTTTAAAAAAAGAATTCCCATAATAAAAAATGTACAACTTAATAGTAATCAAATATACACATAATGAAATTACAAGATGCTATTTTACACTCAGCTTGGCAAAAATTAGAGTCTGACAATCCCAAAAGTTGGTGAGGATCTAGATAGCCAGAAACTTGGTATACTGGTGGGAACCTGGAAAACCGTGGCACTATTTTATAAAGCTGATGATGTGCTGTGTTATATGACGGCAATTCTGTTCAAGGTATACATTTACTCTGTGTATGTGCACCAGAAATCACATAAAAAATGTTCATAACATTTCCTTTTCCTGCTTAAAAGAAAGATGCAGCCCTGGTCAGTTTGGCTCAGCAGTGTTGGCCCACAGACTGAAGGATCTTGGGTTTGATTCCGTCAAGGGCACATACCTGGGTTGCAGGTTCGATCTCCCGTGCAGGTCAGGCTGGTTCGGGAGGTGACCACTTGATGTGTCTCTCTCGCACTGATGTTTTTCTCTCTCTTTCCCTCCCTCCCTTCCAGTCTATCTTTAAAAATCAATGTAAAATAGCCTGGGGTGAGGAGTAGCAAAAAACACAACAACAAAAAACAGTACGGTTCAACTTCCAGCAACAGAAGGGAAAAATTGTGCTAGTCACACAATGAAATAAAACTTAACTGTGAAAATAAACACACGAAAGTACTTGTTTCAAAATGATAATGCCCGATTACAATGAACATAAAAAGAAAGTGACAGAAGAATAGTTTCATTTCATTTATTCGTATTTAAGCATACATACACGGAGGTAAAACGATTAAGGACAGAAAGGCTATGATCAATACAGAGTTCAGGAGAGGGGCTCCCGCTATCACACCGGGATGGGACAGGGTCAGAGAAGAGCTCACGTAGCAGGCACACGGGGGTTTGTTTATTACGCTTTACATTTTAGTGTGTATGCATATATGCTCCACTGCATGTGTGAAATCATTTTAAACTGGAGTGGCTGTAACAGACACAGAAGATTATGCATCACACTTCAGAAGATGCCCACGGCCTGGCGTGCTATGCACTTCCCTCAACTCTATCCTTCACCACTGGGCTGAACCTGCTGCTTTTGTTTCTCTGTTTCTCTCATCTTGAAGGTAGAGACTATGGTCCTGTTCCGACAGTACCTATTACACTCTAAGGACTCAACACCCGATGATTGAAAGGATGACTAAACTAACCTAACTTGAAAATCTAGAAGAACTAGGAAAAGTCTGAAAGTCAGCGTTACAAGTGGGTGGCTTATTTCGTTTCCCAATTTAGCACATTCTACAAACTTACAGCCTGTTCCTCTTTTATCTCCTCCTTCACCCTCCCTCTGTCTTGGTATTTAAGGTTTGAAATAGTTCAGTGATGAGATCAGCTTAGACACTGCCTTTCGAAATGCTTCCTTCTGTTTCCAGAGGTGGCTGCAGCCAAAGGGGCTTCTCTATTAAGGTGGTATCTACACTGTACTTGTTTTCTGCCCCCAATGAGGCGAATAAATCCACCAACCTGGGGCTTCAGTGTACTCAGGAAACCACGGTCATCTATTTAAACCAACCAAGGGACCCAGTGATTTAACACCATCTTTGGTCCCGGTTCCTGTCTGAGATGATTCTGTGGTCACCTCACACACACACTCACACACACACGACTACATGTGCATCTCTTCACATGGTCAAACGATACATCTGCATTTGTATAACTAACCTGCAGGTGTGGAGCTCCTGGGTGGGAGTGGAAACACAGCATCCCAACTAAACAGGAAGGTTTGAACCAAACACAGAACTAACATTAGAAAAAGTGTAAGACATGGTAGGGAACAAACACTCCATTTTCAGAATATGTGTTTTCTGGAATTTATTCTTTTTTAATGTTGAATATAAAATCTGAGATTTCACCAATGCCTTTAGGGACAAATGCATACAAATGAAAACCTAAAAATAACAATTATGCAGATCAAGGTGGCCCTGACAAGTAAGAAAAGCTGGTAAGTGAAAAGCTTTTCTAGGAAAAGCAAAGCCATCTATAGCAAAATCAAAATTTAAAAAACCAAAACAAACTAAAAAGAACGACGCTTTGGTACCTTTCAATGAGAGGAAAAGTAGGTTTAGTTCATTATAAATTCAAGTAATACAAAAACATCTATGTGGGAATATTGAATAAATCTATAAAATAGAAACAAATCTAAAATATATTAAAGTTTGAGGGGAAAAAAAAATCTTCCTTTTCTCCTCTTTGATTTTAATAGAACACTAGAACTTGGAAAGAAAAGGTATTTCCCCGACTAAATTTCCTCTGGTCTGCTTATACCTAGCAAGATGGCACTCTGTATTTGACCGGATTTAAAATGGCATACTTTGATTTCCGGCAACACACTTCCTTTGTCCTAACAAGCCTACCACAGGAAATAAGAATTCTGTCTCGAAATGCCCTTGATATTACAGCTATGCCTGCAATTCCCATCCACTTCTTTCCTAGGCTTTTAAGACTGTGATCATCTAAATCTAAAGGCAGCTAGTCAAAGACGGGAACAAGAAGATCATGATGTGTTTGGAATTCAGCTGGTGAAATAGTACAAGTAAGGACATGATCTTCCCTGAAGACAGTGTGGTCCCAGAGGGCAATCCCTCAGCATCTGGAGAGCCTGGGTACGTGTCAACGCCACTCAATGTGCTTCTAACTCAGTTTAACAAGTATAGCGCTAGCCAAGGCTGGTCTCCTATTTCTTTGCTGATTTAAAGAAAAAAAGGTAGGGTGAGGGATAGATGATGTATAACTGTAACAGTCATTTAGCACTACTATTCATCTAGTCTGTTTAGGAGAATCATACTGGGCCTACCATAGACATAGGACTTCAAAAGCTTTAAGACAAATCTGAGTAGCTTTGTCTAGCAAGTATTGTATTGATCCTACAACCCCAGAGTTTAACTTACAAAATGTCAATCTTAAAAAGGTGGTTCTTGGCCTGGCCGGTGTGGCTCAGTGGTTGAGCGTCGACCCATGCACTAAGAAGTCGCCGGTCAGGGCACATGCCCAGGTTGTGGGCCCAATCCCCAGTGAGGGGCATGTAGGAGGCGGCCAATCGATGTTCTCTCTCATCGATGTCTCTATTTCTCTCCCCCTCTCCCTTCCTCTCTCTCTAAAAATCAATAAAGAATAGAAAAAAAAAGTTGCTTCTTGGTGCTCACTGGCAAGAGTAGACAATATAAATTAGACCACTGTAATATTAGAAAACATTTTAATTGCTGCAGCTTAAAAAAAATTCTAAGTCTTATCAGAAGAGTCACATACTCAAACACAATATCCAGTTAAAAAAAAAAATCCTGGATAGTCCCTGGGATTTATCAAATGGATTTTGACCTGAATCTTATTTAATGCCAACTAAGCAGTAATACCCATGATTTCACAACAGCTTTCCTTCAGGGAAAACTGTGTGGATCGTGTATCTATGCCAGCCTAGTAAAATTTGTGGCACGTTTTTCTTCTGGTTGTAGGCCCTGGGCTACAAACCTCCGCCTGTGATTTCAGCTTTTGCATTCAGCAAGTCCACATTTAGCAAGTTGTAGGGTAAGAGAATATATGTGATGGGGTTTCAGTTCTCCTGTTTTTTCTGTTTCTTATAAACTTCCTACTCAGAATCTAAATGTCAGGTCCAGCATCAGGATCCAGAGAATAGCAGAATATTTTAGGCAGCCCTCCGATATTTGGTCCTTTGCAAGACTGTTCCCATGTTTGGCAACTAAAAACTCTAAAAAATATAAGCAGAGACAAGGATGCAAAAACGTAGCCTCTGCCCTAGTAAAATAGACATGTTTAGTGTTGCTCAGCATCCACTCTGAAGGGAGTAAAGATTTTGCATGCTAATACAATTCAGATGTGTCTCCATCAGCCCCTTTCTCATATATGCTGCTCTGAACACTCACTGAGTATCTACATTACTCTGAAAAATCTGGGACTGTGCATTGGCCAGAAATATAGACTAGCAAAGTTAGAGAAATAGGAACTAGCAAAGTTAAAGAACCAGTGGAAAGACAGAAAAAAAATTAAACTGGGCAGAAATATTAGTATCTTTTAATATGCCTTGTCAAGGGTTCACAAAATATATCCAAAGAAGATCTTCCTTTCTCGAAAAAATATAATCCCTCCACAAAATAGAATAAGCAGCTGTTAGTCAGGGTAGCTGCATTAAAAAATATATGTGCACTTACATTTAAGTTGCTAGAGCTGAAGCTTTCAGATATGAGTCAAACACTTTTTCTATAAATTTACTATCTAATTAGTGCACCTCTTAAAATACATCTTTTAAGCAGTCTTATGCATTTAGGTGAAACTTTCCTCTTGCAGAAGATAAAGAAGCATCTATTTTCCAAAATAGCAATTATTTTCATCCCTGTAACTTGGTTCCGATCACACATTATTGCAACAGTGATTTCTGGAAAATCTCTGGGAGCTTAGAAGGTTTATGGGGGTTAAGAGTTACATTACCAAAAGGAGGCTAGGACATCCAACTTGCTCTGTAGGTGTTATTACAAAACACTAGAAAAGTGACATTTGTGATTTTGCAGCAAAAAATTTCATCCCTTTGTCAACCAGCATTTCCTTTTCTTTCTGATCAAAATATTCTAACATCCTGGCAGACTACTTTTAAGAATAGAAACCAGACAGCTGAAAGAGACGCAGGTCTGAGCAATACTGGCATCAACTATAACCTAGGGCAGATCCAACATTTTCTCTCTGATGGTGTCACTCACTTATCTTCCAGTCATTAAGGAAGCACACCTGTAACAGGTTATAGTACCTCCAGGTGAGTGAGGCAACTACAGGCAATTCTGAAAATAAGAAAAAAAACCCACCACAGTTCTGATTTGGTTTAAAGCAATCATGCAATCCCATTATACCCACATCTTCCAAAAACACCTTTTCCAAATGCAAGCAAAGTTATTGATGATGCATGTGGCTTTTGTCACAGTGATGCATTAGGTAAGCAGGTGTGTGCCGAGTACCAGGGGGCGCTCCAAAATGCATCTCCATCATCTTCCACTTGTCTTCTCTAAGGTTCTGCCTATTTATTTAAAAATAAAATAAACAAGTCAGTAATTGCCCTGTGTTGACAAGAAAATTCACCCTGGCAGTGATATTTTAAATGTTAGGAACAGAGATGCTGGGAATCATAATAAATCACCCCCATTTGATATATAAGAACAAATCCTGAGTTTCAGGATAAGAGGCCAGATTTAAACCCCACACATCTGACCTGTCAAATATGAAACTGTAAAGAAAACCACACTTCAACAACTGCAGAGACTCCACTCAGAGGTGCTATTCCACTCATGCCTGGGTGAGCAGGGGGTGTGGGCCACACCCTCAGGGGGCCTGTGGAGAGCGAGCCAAGGTAAAGAACAGCACCTGTGGCCATGCCTATTGGTGAACAGCTGCTGCCCCAGCCCCAGGATGGCTCCATGATTCAACCACCAAACAGACACCTGGCATGGGGGGCCTCTGCCCTGCTCCAGCTCTGGTTCTGGCTGGTCAGTGCCCAGGGTTTACCAGTTGTTACCACCCCCGAATGGCAGCGATCCAAAAGCAGAAACTTCTACTCAGTCCCTGCTTTGAGTCTATGGAAATAACAAACGCGATGGGCCAGTCACTGCGGGCTCCAGCGAGGCCTACCAGAATGTGGGTTTCCACACCTGCCAACTTCTCGAGAAAAGTGGGAATCTGTTATTTGAAACATTGACAGCTCATTTAAATTCTTTTAAAAACCTTGTGCAGACACACTCAGAGCCAGTGTGGCCTGAAGGCCGCCATCGTGTGCCTCCCACCTTCCTCCGCCCTCTGCTCCTGGGTACTGCCAGGATCCGCACTGCACCTGTGCCTTGTGGGCCCGTAACTGTTCTTTCCCTATCGTTCTCTTCTGTCTCCTCACTGTGTAAGCTACAGATGCTAAGGGTGTCTTCTCAGTTCCCCGGCAGGCTCTCCAGCCCTGTTTAATGTGTGTATACTGCACAGAGGGTGGGAAAGAAGACGAGAAAAGGGGGCTTCCAGCTTTGCCTACACTGCACCTGCGAGTGCTCTGTCCAGCCTCACAGTACAGATGGTACAACGATTTACCACCACGGTAAAAACGAAGTAACTAGAAAGGAGGGAAATGCTCAACTGCTCTTCAAGATACTCTTACTTCTCTCCTATGAAGGTGAATGGAGTATGAGCTGGATTAACCCTTCAGGCCCCAAATGGTTCGCGGTGGAGGTGGCACACACAGCGCACCATGGGCTTCCCCTCTGGGTCCCTGTGCTCCTGCCCAGCTAGGACTGACTCGGCACCTGACAATGGTGGGCTGAAACGGTGGGCATGACCAGAGCCCTTGCTGCCTTTGGAGTGATCTGAAATCAGGTGAACACCCATGGTATCAAGACCAACTTTAATATTATGACCACAAGTAGTGTGAGAATGCTTATTTTATAGATCACAGATTTCTGGAGAAATTTCTGAGAGAGTAAATATTTTTTAAGAGTCGAACAGTCAGCCAGCGGAGTCCCTAAGGAAGCCAAATCTCAGGGGAAAATAAGAGCAAAGAAGTAAGCACACAGTATTTTTTTTTTTTAAATGCTTTTGCATAGACAGTGATGTTCACCGGATTTATGCATCTGTTAGACTGATTACTCCTACCCCAGTTTTTTCCAGTTCTTTGAAGATAAATCTGGATTGTTCAATATCCTTGGATGAAACATGTTATAAAATACTACAATTTTCCTAACAACTATTCCAATGTTCCATCTTTATAAAAATAGTCTTAAGAACCTTTTAATATTTTATGTGTGGGTTTTGCCTCTGTTAAAAACATGTGCCTGGAAACCACCCACAACCATCTGTGGTCTTACTGACGTAAAAACAAAGCAAGACCTCACATCAGCTATAAACTACAGGTGCTGGTGTATAATTTTTATTATTGATAGTCGCTGCCTTCCTCCCACAGGTGTTCCAGAAATGGTACAAATCCTAAGTAGCCTCAAAAGACCTATTACTGACAGACATTACTGACAAAGTTCTCAGTAATGCACTTGCATTTCAATTTAGTGTAACAAATGACACTTTAGAGCTCAGCCTCAATTGAAATACAGTAAAAACTGCAATTGCTATATATGTAAAGATTACAGGGAAACACAACTAAGATGTTTATGTGGTTATCTCTGGGTGGTGGATTAATAGGTTATTTTATTTTCTATTCAACACATTTTAGTTCTTTCCCAATTTTTCTAAATGAGCCTAGGCTACTTCCATAATTAGAAAAAACCAGTGTAGCCCTAGCCAGTGTGGCTCCATTGGTTGGAGTGTCATCCCATACACCAAAAGATGGTGGGTTTGATTTCTAGTCAGGGCACATACCCAGGTTGTGGGTTCAATCCCTAGTAAGGGCGTTTGTGGGAGGCAACTGATCGCTGATGTTTTCGCCCACAATGATGCTTCTCTCTCTCTCTTTCTCTCTCTCTCTCTGTCTCTCCTGCTTCCTCTGTCTAAAAATCAGTAAATTTTTTTAAAAAAGAAAAAAACACCAATGTCTTTAAAAGGGAAAACAACAGTCAAAATATAACCTATTTTAAGAAGGAAATGGTATTTTTTATTTTGAAAGCGAATCTATGTGCTTCACAAAGTTGTGATAATATATATCATTTCTAGGTCTCAATATTAAAAAACATTGCGCTTTTTACGTTCTCTGAAAGACATATGACACAACAAAGCAGCTTTGAAAACATTTTGATTAGTTTAAGGATTGTAGAGTTTTCTCGAGATTGACTACTTGTTATTGCAGACCATCTCTCTTTTAACTTACATGAATTAAATGTACAAAAGACCTTAAAAATATGGCCCTGGCCGGTTTGGCTCAGCGGTTAGAGCGTTGACCTGCGGTCCAGAGAGACCCGGGTTCGGTTCCCGCTAAGGGCATGTACTTCGGTTGCAGTTTGTCCCTGGCCCTGGTTGGGTTGTGTGGGTGGCAGCCACTCAATGTGTCCCTTCCATGTCGATGTTTCTCTCTCTCTCTCACTCTCACTCTATCTGAACAAAAAAGAAAAAATGTCCTCAGGTGAGGATAAAAAAAAATTTTTTTAAATATGGCTCTGAGGCTGCTATTTCAAAAAACATAAAGTAATGTAAACTTGCACTTTAAAACAGAAAGCACCTACTACTTTATGCTAATTCTTCTTGGAAGGAGATATATATTATAAATTAATTAGATTATAAATAAAAATAAACTCTAATATACAGCAACAGTTGAAAACTGAAAAGAAAAAAGAGATTTTTTTGTTTGTTTGTTTTTACACTGGGCAGTCTCTAACTGTGCATTTAAGTGAAAACTAGCCCTGCCAGTTTGGCTCAGTGGTTAGAGCGTCGGGTTCGGTTCCTGCTAAGGACACATACCTGGCCTTGGCTGGGGTCATGCGGGTGGCAATCAGTAGACATGTCTCTCTCACATCAATGTTTCTCTCTCTTCTTCCCTCTCTCCCTCTCACTCTATCTGAAGATAAATGCAAAAATGTCCTCGGGTGAGGATAAAAGAAAAAAAAGTGAAAACTAAATACTTAAGGTATTCAGGATGTTCCCCCAAAATGTATGCACACAATTGTAGATTCTATTACATTTTGAAAATAAAATGTATTTTAATAAACACTGCCTTTATAATGATTCAAAATGTGTATACATTTTTTGGGACGCCTGTATGTGCATTCCTCTAACACCTTCAACTTCAACTGAGAACAATGAAGAATAAATGAAAAAGGTGAATTTTAAAACAAGAAAAGATTTACCTACCTTTGATGCCAACCGTGATTTCAGGCCTAAGAATGAAAACACTGTGTTGCTTTCCTTTGATTCAAAAAAACTGTCATAATCCTGGGAAAAGAAGGGGGGGGGGGGTAAACAAAAGCCAACAATTATCTTTGTATGCAGTACTTTTGACAAATTCGTTAGCAAAGTAAAGACTGTGCCCCTGCTCCAGCCAGGCCAGGGAAGAGCTATATAAATCTACTCGTTTGCTCTGCTTGAGCCAACATTTCTCTCAGTATGATGATAAATGTAACAAGTTTTCAATCCAAAGCCTGTGATAGGATTAAAACATAAAACACTGGCGACGGAAATGAAATCGGAACTCACTCCCTTTCCTTCATGTGCCAAACCAACATTTATTTGTGTGAAATCACTCTGTCCTAAGCTTTTATTCTAGCACTTCAATATGGAAGGCTGCCTCCCAATTCTACTCTCGGTATTTTGTTATCTAGGGCTTTAGAAAAAGCTATCACTGGGTAAACAGAAACCTATAAAGGTCTCTGTGTGTCAGTGAGAGTGCTTCTATTCTGCTTTTGAAGTGGTCCACATTCTTTAAGACTGTGCCTTCAGAGAGAATAAAAAGATCAAATGAAAACTATATTCCCTATTAACATTTACCTTCGCCTCAGAAGCAGAATCATTCTTCTCTTCCTACTTTCACAAGAGAAGCCATTAAGGAGTTCTAATCAATATGTTCATCAATTGTGTCTTTTCAAAAGTTTGCACATATAAAACCACACAGTGTCTAAGTTGATAGAAAGCAGTCTTAAAATTTGGTAGCGGTCCCTTTGATAACTTTATCCTGAGAGTAAATATTGTAAGCAGACGAGGTTCAGAATCATTTTTAGGCATTTCCTTTGGGCTAGGCGCCTTACAATGAGTCGGTCATTTAATCCCCACCACAGCCCACCAGGTTGGAGACAGGCTCAGAGCAAAAAAAAGAAAAAAAAAATTGTTGCCCAAGTTTGACAGCCAATGCTTGAGAGAGCTGAGATTTGGGTCCAATTCCATTCATGTTGTGATTGATGTTTTTTGTACTTTATAATGCTTCTTGCTCAAGAGGAAGGTGTGGGCACCCTGTACACGAGTCACTGAGCTTCCATCTACTGCTAAGCCCAGCCAGTGGCATCACAGGCACTTTTGAAACCTGTCTAGGAATCTAAAGGGGAGTCAATAACTTATAGAGATCTGCCTTCTTGCAAAACATGCCTCAGTTGATGAAAAATCTTTGAATTATTTGACTCTGTCTAGAGATTCTCTTGTCCAAATGCTTTAGAAGGGTGAGGCGGGAGTCGGGTTTCAAAACATTAAGCCTGAGAAACTGTATGAGACACCTACGTGAAGAGGACCATTTGGGCCGTTGGAGGTTCCTAGTGACTCCACAGTATCACAGATTTCATAGAATTTTATGAGAAATTTTACTTTTTTATAAGAAAACTATATCACAAAGAATGCAAGTCTAAATTTTATGTGACATTTAAGCAAAATCCCGTGAACTGAAAACGTTACAAACATTCCTCAGGACAAAGGCATTTCCAAACAGTTGAGTGACACACTTCACTGGGTTCAAGAAATAGTCCTGTTTTAATATATACCTTCTCTAGCTGATCATTTTTGCTTATATTTAATGTGGTAACAAGAGGAAGGCAGCTGAACTACAGCCAGATGTATCATCCTTTTAGATATCCACTATATGAAAACGACTGAACTGTTCCCCCGGCCATATTCGGCCACTATTCAGTCTACATTCTTTCCCTACAGAATGTCAGTTAGAGCCATGGCCCTAATTAAATTCACATCTTTAGCTCTGATTTATCCTCTCAGTTCTGGTTCTATATACAAACTAACTGTTCACAGACTCTTAAACATGAGGGATTTGAATCACGATGCATGATCTTCCTGCCACACCACAAGATGGACCTCTGAGAAGAATGGCACTAATGGGCTCTACCGAGTCAGAAACCAAGGTACCATCGGATTCCTCTCTCTCCCCACCAATAACTATCTTTCATACTCCTTCAGCCTCTCCATCGGCGACATCCATCTCATCGCCCTAATCAAAGCTAGACTTCTGCAGTAGCACCCCAATTTATCAACGCTTCTCCAAGCTAACCTATTTCCACCCCATCATCCTCAAGTGAGGACTGATTAATCTTTTAAAAATGAGACATTGATCATATTGCCTTCTTCTTTTTTTATCCTCACCCGAGGACATTTTTCCATTTTTTGTTCAGATAGAGTGGGGGGGGGGGGGAGAGAGAAACATCGACGGGAAAGGGACACATCGAGTGGCTGCCACCCGCACGACCAACCAGGGCCGGGGACAAACTGCAACCGAGGTATGTGCCCTTAGCGGGAACTGAACCCGGGTCTCTCTGGACCGCAGGCCAACGCTCTAACCACTGAGCCAAACCGGCCAGGGCATATTGCCCTCTTCTTCTCCGGACCGCAGGCCGATGCTCTAACCGCTGAGCCAAACCGGCCAGGGCTGCCCTCTTCTTAAATCCTTTCCTTCAAGATGTCTCATTGCTCTTACAGTACAGATTAAAATTCTTATCGTGGCTTAAAAGGAGTGATGCGGTCCAGCTCTGACTTAGTCAAGCCTGAGAACAGAGGTCTTGTATTTCCACGCATCAACCACGATCTAGTTCACAGGTTTCTGGGAAACTGAGGGGTATATATGCTCAGTCAACTGTAGATGTGATGTCCTGCAGTCTACTGAGTTATATGACCTTGATCAGCTCATTTAACCTCCTCGGACTAGTTCTTCCTTTCTGCATCAGACACTACCAGTCCCTTGAAGCGCCAGGATTCTATGAAATGATGGAGCATTCAGTGGAGTTGCTCTTAAATGGGCTGTTAGCTGTGTCCAGGGGTAAAGTCACCTCTATATTCTATTTCTAAGGATACGTATTTGAAAATTTACCCCTCACTGGTTTAACTGAAGAGACAACAGTAAGAGCGAAAAAATTAGGACTCATGACTTTAGTCATCAAAATGCTGTCCCTATATTGAATTTTGAAATTCAATTCTGTTGAATCAAAACCTGTTTCTACTTGATTAATAATCTCTGATGGCAGTGTGAAATGCAGGAATGAAAAAACTAATAATTTAAGAAATAAAACATGAGAAATAATGCCTGACTCAATCTCTATAAATGTAGCATGAATTTTACTTTAAAAGACGGAAGGGCTAACATGGAAATATCCTGCATATAAAAAATTAACAGGCAAGTTACAATGAAAATGTGTATAATTCAGGTTTCAGTGTTTATATGAAAAACCTTAATTTAAAAATAATTACAGGTCTTTGCCCTGGCCGGTTTGGCTCAGCGGTTGGAGCGTCGGCCTGCGGTACAGAGAGATCAGGTTTGGTTCCCGCTAAGGGCATGTACCTCGGTTGCAGTTTGTCCCCGGCCCTGGTTGGTCGTGCGGGTGGCAGCCACTCGATGTGTCCCTTCACATCGATGTTTCTCTCTCTCTCTCTTCCTCTCTCTCCCTCCCGCTCTATCTGAACAAAAAATGTCCTCGAGTGAGGATAAAAAAAACAATAATAATAATAATTACAGGTCTTCAAATCACAAAACTGGAAATAAGGTAAACTCTCACAAGCAAGTTTCATATATAAAATGGGACATGTAAAATCCATACATGCAGAGAAAATGTGTAACTTTATAAACTATCCATTTAACATTGAATCAAAACTGTTCTCATACATTTTACTCACCAACAAAAGTATTTTGAAATTTCAGCTATTTAAAAATCTCAGAAAGGCAACATTTCTCATTTAGATAAAAAATAAACAACAAAAAACTCTTCATATCTGTCATAAACATTATAAGCATTATTTTTATTTTATGAACCTTTAACTCAGTGCCATATAACTGTAGCTAAGGGGCTTCTTACCTGAATGCTGAATTGGATCCTCCCAACAGTTTAGAAATTGTCATTTAAGGTAATTAACTCCTTACAAGTGACAAGTATAAAATTTGGTAATTAACGTTAAAGGCAGAATAATTTAATAAAATCATTTTTAAAAGTCAATGTTAGAACAGTTCCTGACACACACCGAGTTACCAATAATACCTGTCAAGTGGATGAATTAGTTCACTGCTAATTAATGACTGATAGGCCATGTTTTAGGTAATCTCATGCTAGCAACATAATTTGAATAAATCCTATCTCTATTACTTACAAGTTTTAAAGAATTATGTACACAATTTACTTTCTGACATTCAAAAGCTTTTGAGTGGTCTGATGAATCTCAAAGTGCAAAAGGTTAAATTATTTTCCTTGTCATATTTAGGCACCGCATGTGATGATCATTTAAAATTTAGATTTAAAATGAAGGATTTCTTTTATTTTTGCATGTAGCTGTACAATTTTCCCAACATCATTTATTAAAGAGGCTATCTTTACTCCACCATATGCTCCTGCCACCTTTGTCAAATATTAATTGAGCCCTGGCCAGTTTTTCTCAGTGGTTAGAGAGTTGGCCTGTGGTTCAGAGAGACCCAGGTTCGGTGTCCACTAAGGGCACGTACCACGGCTGCGGTTTGTCCCTGGCCCTGGTTGGGTTGTGCAGGTGGCAACCACTAGATGTGTTCCTTTCACATCAATGTTTCTCTCCCTCTCTCTCCCTCTCACTCTATCTGAACAAGAAATGGAAAAATGTCCTCGGGTGACATATATTAATTTAGCATATTGTCTTGGGTCCATTTCTGGGTTCTCTATTCTGTTCCATTGATCTATCTGCCTGTTCTTGTGCCAGTACCAAGCTGTTTTGATTACAGTGGCTTTGTAGTATAACCTGAAATCTGGTCCATTAACTTACATCATATACAAGAATAAACTCACAATGGATAAAATACTTAAATGTGACTCACGAATCCATAAAAACCCTAGAAGAAAATGTAGGCAACAAAATTTCAGACATCATACGCATCAGAATTTTCACTGATACATCACCTAAGGCAACAGAAACAAAGGAGAAAATGAACACATGGGACTACATCAAACTCAAAAGCTTCTGCACAGCAAAAGAAACAACCACCAAAATGGAAAGGC